ATACACACAAGACTCATCTTCATTCTTAACGAAGTTATAAGATATGATCGCCTTATCAAATCTTATGTTCCAACTTCGGGAAGCTTGCTTTAGTCCATAGATGGACCTAAGAAATCTGCACACTTTATTTGAACTCTCCTTGGACACGAATCCCTCAAGCTATATCATATACACCTCATCCTCGAGGTTGTCATTGAGGAACGCGATTTTCACATCCATCTGCCAGATCTTATAGTCATAGTGTGCTGTGATAGCCAATAGAATTCGGATGGATTTCAGCATGGCTATAGGTGAGAAGGTTTCGTCATGGTCAACACCTTGCTTTTGATGATACCCTTTAGCCACTAGCCTTGCCTTATAGGTCTCCACCCATTTATCTACTCTGATTTTCTTCTTGAAGATCCACTTACAACCAATGAATACAATACTCTTAGGTGTATCAACTAGGTTCCAAACCTTGTTGGAGTACATGAAATCAATCTCGGAATTCATGGCTTCTTATCACTTCTCGGAGTCTATACTCGTAATAGCCTCCTCGTAAGTTTGATGGTCAATATCCTCAACATCATCTCTTCTGATATGTCCCAAATATCTCTTAAGAGGATGGGGTACTCTTCCGGACCTATGTAAAGTCGAGACTTGTGTGCTAGGTACCTGAATAGAATTGGGTTGCGAAATTGTGCTTGAGCTAGGTTCTCAAACCTTGCTCAACTCTATCACTCTCCCACTGTCTCCACCAAGAATATATTCCTTCTCAAGGAATATCGCCCTCTTGGCTATAAAGACCTTTTGGTCCTCGGGGTGATAGAAATAATATCAAGTTTCCTTAGGGTATCTCACGAACTTCCACCGTTCCATCTTGGATTCCAACTTGTTGAGGTTATGTCTCTTAACGTGGGCAGGGCAGTTCCAAATCTTAACAACCTTAAGATCCGATTTCTTCCCTTTCCATATCTCATATAGTGTAGACCATGGTTTGCAGTACCGATCCGTACCGCCCGGTACGGGCGGTACGTACCGGTCCGCCAGACTTTCGGTACGCGGACCATATGTTACCGTTCCGACACTGTAGCAGTAATGTAGCACTGTAGCACTGCTACAGTGCTCGGCACGCCTGAATATACCGCTCGGTACACCTGGGTGTACCGAGCGGTATACCGTACCGTACCGGTACCGAGCCCAGGTCGAAACTCCGGTACGGTACGGTATTGCGAACCTTGGTGTAGACACTACCGACTTAGTTGGAACTCTGTTCAGAAGGTAAGCTGCGAACCCTAGGGCGTATCCCAATAGTGAGACGAGTAGGTCAATGAAACTCATCATGGACCGTACCATGTCTAACAACGTACGATTTCTCATTTTTGATACTCCATTGTGCTGAGATGTATAAAGAGGTGTCCGTTGGGATAGAATCTCATGGTCCTTGAGAAATTGGGTGAACTCTATACTCAAGTACTTACCTCCTCGATCTGATCGAAGAGTCTTGATACTCTTTCTAGTCTGGTTTTCTACATCATTCTTATATTCCCTGAATTTCATAAAGGCCTCGGACTTATACTTCATCAAATACACATGTTCATATTTAGATAAGTCATCAGTGAATGTAATAAAGTAAGAATAATCTCCTATAGTCTAAGTTGACATGGGACCACATACATTACTATGTATTAGTTCCAATAACTCAGTGGCTCTCTTTCCAATTCCACTAAACAAAGAGTTGGTCAATTTTCCATGAAGGCAAGGGTCGCAAATCGCATATGACTCATAGTCGAATCAATCTAGGTATCCATCCTCTAGAACTTTTGGATTCTTTCTTCGTGGATATGACCTAGCCTACAATACCATAGGTATGCACTATTCACCTCATCTCATTTCCTCTTGGACACATTTACATTCATGATATGTAGAGCAATATCTAACATAAATAAACTATTATGCAATGTTCCTCTAGTGATGAACTTATCATCCAATATTATTGAACAATCATTGTTCTCAAAAATTAATTTATATCCTCTAACTATCAAATATGAAATAGAAATAATATTTTTAATAATAGAAGGAACGAAATAACATGTATTCAATGCAATAGTAGCTCTACTAGGCAGATGTAGGGTGACCTTGCCAATAGCCACTACAGCAACTTTTGTTCCATTACTCATCTTGAGGTTCATCTTGCCTCTCGCTAATCTCTTCGGACTTGCCAGAACCTGCAACGAATTGCAGATATGATAAGCACTATCGATATCCAATACCCATGTGTTATCATAAAAATCTGACAAATGAAGACCGATCATGAATGTACCTGAAGCTTCTCCAAGCTTCTATTTCGCCTTCTTTGCAAGGTCTTTGTAGTTCCTCTTTTAGTGCCCGTCTTTGCCGTAGTAGAAGCATTGTCCTTTGTCCTTTCTTGGGTCCTTCTTGGCAATCTTTGGTTTGTCCGGTTTGCCCTTGTCCTTGCCCTTCGTAAGAGACTTCTCTATCTTTGGGAGTCATGGAGTCCAACATGTAACACTGAGCAAGAGTGAAATCATCTATGTATTTTACGTAGCGAGCGATCTCATCCTCACTTGCCCCTTCCTCGGGCATGGGTATCATGTGTCAAGGACATACGCGATTTTTTCCCCCGTGAGAACGGTTCTTAGGTTGCGAAGCCAATCCATGTAGTTTGGACCAGTGAGGCGGTTGACATCAAGTATGCCACGTAAGGGATTTGAGAGCGATATGTTTCGGACAAACAAAAGATATAGCATAAATAAATAACATGCAGATTTTGCATAAAGATAAACAATCAAGATAAGGACTTCTATCTCAATCTATTCCCACTATTTTTCTCGCGAAACACACAACACCCTCCGGTATGTGAATCGGAGACCTTCGGCGTATCTCTAGCGGGGATTGAGATCTAATTGGAAATGTTGGCTTGAGAAAGATGTGATAGTAAGTTTCATGGATTGAATGCTGTTAAAAATTATCACATCAATGCCAGAGAATGGGATTCTGATTGTGTTTATTTTGAGAGCAAGAAATATTCTCTTCAGCAGGCTAGACTTTATGATAGCAGGCACTAGAAAGTAGCAACTAATAAATGCCATGCATCAAAATAATTCAACAAAAGAGGAGGTAATAAGAGATAGAAGGATTAATTTGACTCAGTAGGGTTGCACACCCAACTTACTCACGCATGTTGAAAATCAGAATCCTTAAATTTTATTGCTAGCAGCAACCATCGTTTTTTAAGCTAAAATGTTTCTGCTTATCTTATAATCTTTCCATGATTGCTAATATATTGCTAAAATAAAAAGAGAAAAAGAAGACATGAAGGGAATGTATATCATTGCTCATTTAACTTTAAAATTTAGCTAAGTAATATAATTTTGTGTAGTCCTTAAAATCTTTGATCCCAGACAAAGTGTCATTTTTCTTTGTTATGCTTGCATTGCTATCACCTTTGATCATGAAAATCATTTGTTGAAGTTCTTTTGGCAAGAATTTTACCTTGGGTCATTGTATCTTTTACTAGGAATTCTAATGGAACAATATCTTTAACAAGCGTTTCCTGTTGCCTTTTTTCTCATGGATTAGATGGATCAGGTTTCACAAGTGCACCTGTTTCTTTTTTCTTTTTTCAATTTTTGATATGCATCATCATGTATGACAAAACAACTAGTTCGTTAACCCCCAGATCGCTTGAACTGACTTAGCCTTGACCTGCACTTGGCTAATAAAATCACCATGGCCATGTCCCATGCGAGATGTGATCCCGAGAATTAACTTGCATCAAATTTTTGTATGCAAAACATCACAGTATCTGCTTTACTCTCCATGATAACCATATCAGCATGTGAAGTAAACCCGAGATGCATCACATCTCATGCAATTTGCAGTGCCAACCCTCCAACATTGCTTTTTCTGCATCCCTAATTATAGATAAGAGAAGTGACTTTTAGCCTGATTTGAAACAGTAGTGTTTGGCCATTAAAAACAGGAATTCCCTGTTCTTGGTCAGTACAGGAAAGAGAAAATTGAATCTTTTGTTCGTCGAAACTCACATGATTGATTGGATATTTAAGTGGGCTCAAAGATTATCCAGCCCAAGGTTTTAAATATTAATATTTTTCAGTCTAACAGCCAAATGGGACATGAACCAAGAGATTTCACCTGGTCCAGACTACTATGGGTTGCATCGTCTGGTAAGCTCACCATACTGGACTTACTATGGTACATAGCCTGACACTGAATTATACTGGCATTGAGCTTTTTGCCTGTACCTCTAATATGTTTTTAAAAAGTTTTTTAACAATTGTGAAATGTGAATGAGTCTTTGTTTTCCTTTGATTTTTGTTTCTTTTCTCTCATTCTCATGCTCTCTCCCTCTCTTTATTTTTCTTATTTGCGCTTTCTTTCTCCCATCCACTGCCGTCTTCTCCTCTTCCCCATCACATTGCAACCATCATCTTTGTTCCTCTGTCTTGCCATTTGTGACTCATTTGGCCCACTGTGTCAATGGTCTCCTTGTTTCCTCCTTCTATCGCTACATATCTTCCTCAAAACATGATCAATTATTGTTTTCAGATCATGGTGATGCAGGTTCATGCTTGCACTGCTAAAGGAAGCATAGTGATTTACCAGAGAAGCTACTAGTACATACAACTATGCATGAGCCATGAGTGGAATCATCCTTTATGTTATTCTGTTTCATTCTCTATCTAAATATGATATCTGTGACTAGTTTTGGGTATCTAGAATGTTAACCTTGGCTATTTGGAGGAACTTTATGTTTTAAAATGAACTATATGGAGATGCATTGTGTGTCTATGTTATTTTGACCTTTGCTTAGCTAGCTAAGCAGCTATGTTTATTTGGTCTGGCAAATTTGCAGAAGTCAACACTGTTCTCAGTTTTCCAAACAAATACAAATTCTGCATAAAATTTAATCGTACATTTGTCTAAAACTTTCTTGTAAGTGTTGTTTTGAACTTTTCTTTATTCCTCTTTCCTAGGACATGGGAAGTTTGAGACTATGGGAACGCTTGGGATTTCTGGTATGCTTATGGTTACTGCAGGTGGGATTGGCTGGCATGCCATTGATGTTCTTCAGGTATCTGCTCTTTGCTGTCACAGTAGTGTCTGTCAGATCCGAATATATGATTTCATTTGCACCACTAAAAAGGAATTGACAAGTAAAATACTTTCACTAAAGCAGTGCTTCACAGAGACTAGCTTGTGTTGCTCTTAAATATTATTGAATTTATACACTAGGTGTTTTTATGTTTAGAAACAGAAATCATGTTCTTTTTTACTTTAAATTGACAATTATCATCTACATATTGCTCATACAGATTCCCTTATCAATTTCAGGGGCTTCTAATGTCAAACCCTGATATGACCTCTCTGTGTCTGAATCATGACCATCACATTCAAGGTAGTGGGGGCCATCATCATGGAGTAGACTTGGAGCATCCATTTTTAGCATTGAGTATGACAATCATATCAATATCTGTCAAAGAAGGGTATGTATGATATTATACATAATAGTTATTTAGACATAGATAGGAAGTCATAGCTACATCAACAAATAACTGACTACTTGATTTGATAAATGGTAGTATTAGAGAATGTAATGACAGCAGGATAATAAAATAATAATCTCAGGTTTCAACCAAGGTATGCAATACCGTACTGTACCAGTGTTTTGAGGTTGGCTCGGTACGGTACGGTACCACGTATCGAGCGGTATACCAAGGCATACCGAGCGGTACACCAGGTTGTACCAAGCGGTTTTATATATTTCTTCCTCTTATTGTAGCACTGCTACAGTGTAGCACTGTAGCACGTTTCGTTCGATAGCGGACGGTCCACGTACCGGTATCCCGTCGGACCGGTATGTACCGCCCGTACCGGGCGGTACCATTCGAAATTGCATATCATGGTTTCAACTCATCAAACTTTAAGACATCTAGTTCCAAGGCAAGTCACCAAATTCTAAGTCTGAGCTATCAAGTCCCAAAGCAATATATCAAGTTCTAAAACCAAGTTATGAAGTTCCAACTGAGTTTCAAGGCACCATGTACTGAAGCATTTTATAACTAGTGCCCTTGTAAATTGAGGCCATTAATTGGAGTTGTTGAGAGTTGAAGTAATTGATTAGGTAGGTGACGGTTGAATACTTGATGTACAAATCATCTATAAAAGAAAAAGGGGAGGGGAGCTTTGGGGGCAATCTTGAATTAAGCATCTGACTTTTTGTAATTTAGCTTTTAGCTCTTAGTTGTTGCAAGAAAGGAAAGAGAGACTCTTTTCCCTTATCTCAACGACTCTCTCACCCTCTTCTCCTTGTTTGGCATCATTTAGTAAGTTGCTGAACCTTGCTACGCTCTTGGTCTACATTACTCTCTTATGGCAAATAGAAGGGTAAAGGGCAACACGAGAGGAATCATGGATAGAGATGAAAGGGATAAAAAAGTTTAAGCTTTAAGAAGACAAGTTGAAGAGTTTACCATGCGCCTTGAACCTCAAGAAGTTTAAGCTATGATTATGCAAGTGATGAATAAAAAAAAGGCCAATCCTTTTGCATCCTACAAAGCTATGAGAGAGTCCACCACAAAGAGATTTCTTTGTGCAAATGACAATATCAGAATCAATTTGTTAGGGTTCTATGATCGACCTCGACTTGAAGAGTTTCTCAATTGGCTTAGTGTTTTTGAGAATGAATACAAGTAGATACTCAATAATTGAATAGTACAATTGATTGCTATAAGACTTATGAGGTTATGGTTCAATTTGGTTGGACAAGGTGCAAAAGAATTGCTTTTGAAAAGGAAAACTTAAGATATCATCTTAGGAGAAGATGAAAACTCAACTATGTGAAAATTTCCTACCATCATATTTTGCTAAAACTCTATTTTCACAATTCAACAATCTTGAACAAGGATTCAAATCCATTTTCAACTATAGAAGAATTCTACAGGTTGATGGTCGAAATATAACTCAATAGATGGAGGAACAACTTGTGGCATGATATATTGGACGATTAAGAGTAATGATTTGTGACAAAGTGGAGATGGATCAATTATGGTGGTTGTCTATGCTTATCAATTGGCATTGAATGTTGGAGCAAAATTTAGGTAGAAATAGAGTAAAAGTGTGTGCTAATGTTTGTTTATGTTCCTCTTCTAAAGAAGAATCTTATTATAATATGCTAGTGCGTCAAAGGTTATTAGAACTATGAAAAGTACAATTAAGCAAACTCCTACTACTTGCATTGTATGGTAATTACATGAACAAGTGGGACATTACATGAATGAGTTGCCCTAAAAGACGAGCAGATCTATGAGTAAAGTTTATGGAAGAAGAAGATGGTAAGGAGTAAGTTGAAGATTTTGGAGAACCAAAATATGAAGAACTTGAAGAGGCTTCTTAAAAGATTGTACCAGATGAGAACCAAAATAGTAATTCATAGAGCATCTTGCCACTTCAAGAGAACATTTTGATGAAGAATAACTACAAAACAATGTTTCCAATATGCATTGCAAGTCTAAAGGTAAGGTTTTCTCTCTTGTTATCGATAGTGCTAGTTACGAGAAAATTGTCTCACAAGACATGGTGAACAAGCTCAAGTTAAAGGAGTCACATCCTAAAACATATCTGATTTTATGGTTCAAGAAAGGCAATGAGCATTCCTCGTGAAGTGATGGCTAAATTTGAACAATTCAAAGATATCCCACCTGAAGAACTCCTCGATGGTCTGCCTTCTCTAAGGGACATTTGACATCAAATTGACTTGATTCCAAGAGAAAGCGTGCCCAACCATGGTATGCGGTACCGAATGGTACCGCCTAGTACGGGCGGTACATACCGGTCCGACGGCATACCGGTACGCGGACCGTTCGGTACCGGATGGAACGTGCTACAATGCTATAGTATGAATAAAATATATAAAATTGTTCGGTACACCTTGGTGTACTGCTCGGTATGCCCTAGTGTACCGCTCGGTACGCCGGTACCGTACCGTACCGAGCCAACCTCGAAACATCGGTACGGTACGGTATTGCATACCTTGTACCTAACAAAGCTCACTATCATACTGTCACACCCCCCCGAATTATCACATTCAAGAGCTGTGACCCTGTCTTAAAACGTCAATATTAAAATTCAACAACAATCCAATCTAGGATCCAAACTAACATTTGAGGATACTGAGAAACATTCAATGTCAGTCACATCCATAATTCCATAATTCATAAAACTTGTGTAGTCTAAAATCATATACCACATCACTCAATAAATCATAAAATCTGAAACCAACTCACCAAGACAATAACTACCTCATAAATCCACAAGTGTGGGATTCTATATAAGCACGAAACCAATATTTACAACATGTTCATATCATTACACAAATTAAACTTAATATTCCAAAATCCTAAACACGAGAAGTCCTTTAAACTTTTACAGAACTCATAAGTTCAGATTTTCCATCAACATTTCATTAGACACTAAGTGTACTTAGACAATAAAAACATATCATCCACTAAGGATTTGCCCTAAAGTCTTATAGCTTTCCACTGCCTTACCTCAATTTAAACATTTTAGCGAGCAACAAGCTATCCTAAAAAATTTACATAGTAACGGAGTGAGCATATAAAGCTCAGCAAGAGACTAACATATCCATGGCAAAAGAGGATAGTTTCAAACAAATAAGGTATCGAAATACAAGGCAGGGATACAAGAGTTCATAGATAGCCACTCATCGAATGTAGAATTATAATGTCATTTTATTCGAAACATGTTTTGTTCATAACAAAGGAGTAAAGATTAATTGGAGTATATCATTAACATAAGGAGCATTTCGGAACATATCAATGGTGTATGAAATGTTACAGAGCATATCAATAGTATATAAAACATTTCAAAGCATATCAATGGCTAAAGGAAATTGTTTCGGAGGATATCAACGGCATATGAAACATTTCGGAGTATATTAATAACAAATGAAATATTTCAGAACATATCAATGGCGTATGAAATGTTTCGGAACATATTAATGGCATATGAAATATTTCGAAGCATATCAATGGAGTATGAAATGTTTCGAAACATATCAATAGCATATGAAATATTTCGGAGCATATCAATAAAAAATGAAACATTTCAGAACATTTCAATGGCATATGAAATGTTTTGGAGCACATTAATAGTATATGAAACATTTTGGAGCATATCAATGGCGTATGAAATGTTTCGAAACATACCAATGGTATATGAAACATTTTGGAGCATATCAATGACGTATGAAATGTTTCGGAGCATATCAATAAGAAATGAAACATTTCGGAGCATATCAATAACGTATGAAATGTTTCGGAACATATCAATGGCATATGAAACATTTTGGAGCATATCAATGGCGTATGAAATGTTTCGGAGCATATCAATGGTGTATGAAATGTTTCGGAGCATATCAATGACGTACGAAATATTTCGGAATATATCATGACATATGAAAGTATGAAACATTTTGGAGCATATCAATGGTGTATGAAATGTTTCGGAACATAGCAATGGTATATGAAACATTTCAGAGCATATCAATAGCGTATGAAATATTTTGGAGCATATCAATGGCGTATAAAACATTTTATAGCACATCAATGGCGTATGAAATGTTTCGGAACATATCAATGACATATGAAACATTTCGGAGCATATCAATAACAAATGAAACATTTTGGAACATATTAATGACGTATGAAATGTTTCGGGGCATATCAATGGCATATGAAACATTTTAGAGCATTACAAAGAACAAATACGAAACATAAGCTCAATGTCCCATTTGACGTTGCATACATTTCATTCTTATCCAAAGCACACATAGAAGCATATAACCAAAGCTCTGGATATCATATCAAACATATAGATGGTGAAGTGGGATCATAACATAATATGGTCTATCCATTTCTGAATGACCACTAAACATAAGTCTCCCACGTTTGGGAGCTTCATCCACCTACGTCTAAGTGAAGTCATAGGGGGTCGACAAAGCATTGCGGGCTCTAAGCATAACTCCCTTTACCATTTTTGGCAAAGTTCACATTATCCGACAAACACCAGAGTACAAAAGGACATTGTGAGCAATAAAATTAGCATATATCGAAAACACATGCGGAACAACGGAATGCGGGTGCCTATACAAAACATTGCGTTACAAATATAAACTTCATATAATAGATTCAGGTATGCAAATAATTGAAGGACAAGAGTATATAGAAATTCAAAGCAATAATGTAAAGCTCAACTGAAGTAAGGATTTTAACTAAAACCAATTTCCAAAGAGATGAAACAAGAATAGGCAGAATCGATAAAAGCTTGATTTTAGCAGAATTTTAGAGGCACGTTTCATGAACTATTTGAATCACCAATTATGCTCCAATTTGCACAAACTAGGTGTCATTCGAAAGGCATATCAATCTAGTTTTAGATAAATCAAGTTTTGTATGAATTGGAGTTT